AGTGAAGAGATAATACAATCATGAAAAATAAGGGGAAGAAAGAATCTTAAAAATAATCCAGCCCAAACCCTTCATCTTACAGATAAGAAGGCAGAAGTTCCAAAGGGAAAAAGCAGTTTTGGTAAGGGGGCTAAACTGGCCTAGAAAACTGAATCTTCTGCTACCTGGTCCTGGGGACCTTTTTTTTTTTTTTTTTTTTTTTTTATTTTTAAATCTTTTTTTTTTCAACGTTTTTATTTATTTTTGGGACAGAGAGAGACAGAGCATGAACGGGGGAGGGGCAGAGAGAGAGGGAGACACAGAATCGGAAACAGGCTCCAGGCTCTGAGCCATCAGCCCAGAGCCCGACGCGGGGCTCGAACTCACGTACCGCGAGATCGTGACCTGGTTGAAGTCGGACGCTTAACCGACTGCGCCACCCAGGCGCCCCCCTGGGGACCTTTTACAAAGCCACGGTTGTTGGACGAAAAGCCATAAGCAAGTAGAAGATTTACAAGGAGTCCCATGCGTTTGTAGAGAACTTTAGAAAACACTTTTCCATCTGTTAGACCATTTGATTCTTAGGTTGTGCTCTGGAGGGTTTGGCTAGCGTATATGGTTATCTTCATTTCTACAGTTGTGGAAACTGAGGCTCTGAGAGGTTTCGGTTTACCTACGATCACTTACCACGGAGTAAGACGTGGGACCCGAGTTGCTCTTCTCTAAACCGAGGACTTGTCACGTTGTGCCTCATAGTTGTTGCACTCCTCTTGGTAAGCATCACAAGGGCAAACTTTTATAGTCTTCTCTTTCATCCCCAGGCCACTTATCCCACTTTTCATCTAAGCTTTGGAAAACATTACGTCCGTTCTTGAGCCTTGCTGCTTTAACCATTTGTTTGAAGGCCAGGGACTGTGTCTTATATACTAAACTGATAGGAGCGTGTGACAGCCACCCCACTTTGCCACCAACAGCTCCCACCCGCCCTGAGTCTCACTCTGTACCCGAAGCAGTCCTGCCCTTCACACATCTCAAGAGCAGCAAGATAGGAATTTTTTTACGTCCAGATAATACAAAGGCGAGTGCATAATATGGCTTTGGAAAACAACCAGCAGGTGAGGCTGTGACACTGTAATTTTAACCTAAGCGTCATTACATTAAAGTATCTCAGTTCAATGCATGGATCTAAAAATACGGTGCAGTTTTTCCTAAATGCTGTCAAAACAACAACAAAGAAAATCAGTAGGCAGTACTATTTTAGTAATGCGTTGTGTCGAATGCATTGTTTTCCAGGGTATTTTCCAAACAGATTGCTTAAATGTTTTGGTTTTTTTTTTTTTTTTTAACTTGAAGGAAGGTGAAGGATAACGCATTCAGAAAGTATACAAAACTGATAAATGTTCAGTTCAATGCAGTCATCACAAAATGGACACACCCATGTTCACCCTCTAGGGCAATAAATAAAAGATTACCAGTATCCCCCAAAGAGTGTGGCGCTCTCTCGCTCTCTCTCTCTCTCTCTCTGTCTGTCCCTCTCTCTAGCTGTCTTTTTCTGAGAGAGAAAGCAAATATGGTAAAATGTTCGTACTTGGTGAGTCTAGGTGAATGGCTTATGGGTATTCTTTAACTTTTTGGTAGGTTTGAAAATCTCGAAACAAAATTGGGGGATAAAGATAAAATGTTACTAACCTAGCAGAAACCACCACCCCATCCCATCCCACCCCTGCACCCTCTTTCCCAATCACTGCTCCCCCCCTCATCCTGAAGGTAACCTCTCCCCTCCTGCCTTTCAACACCATGGTTTAGTTTTCCCTGTTTTTGGACTTTGGGAAAATGGAATCATACAGTATATAAACTCTTGTGTCTGTAACTCAGCATTGTGTTGATGAGCTTGTCCCGTGTTGATGAGTTTGTCCCGTGTTGTTACATATAGGTGTCATTCTTTTTCATTGATATATGATATCCTCTTATAAAAATATAAATATATCATTGGCCTGAGTGGGCTTGGTGGTTTTAGTCGTTGTTGCCCCGACTTCTTCAGCTTCATAGGTTTCACGATCTCTCGGTCCGTGGTTCCTCCGCTGAGGCTCTGGCTGATGGCTCAGAGCCTGAGCTGCTTCCCGATTCTGTGTCTCCCTTCTTCTCTCTGCCTCCCCCCTGCCCATGCTCTGCCCTCTCTCTGTCTCAAAAATAAATAAACGTTAAGAAAAAATATATATACCACAATCTATCCATTCTACCGGTGATGAACATTCGGGCTCTTTCCAGTTTGGAGGCATTATGAATAAGGCTCCAGGGAATGTTCTTTCATGTGTCTTTTGGTGCACATGTGCGAAGGTGTTAGGTGTATATCTGGGAGTAAAATTGTCTGTGTTGCTCACGTATGCATATGCTGAGCTTTAGTAGATTAGATACTTCTAGTTTTCCAACGTGGTTGTACCAATTTATACTCCTGTTAGCAGTCTATGAAAGCTGTAGCTGCTTCACATCTCAGCAGTACTCGATATTGTCAGTCTTGAAATTATAGACATTGCAATGGGAGCGCACTAGGATCGCATTGTGCATTTAATTTGCATTCCCCTGAGTACTTAGGAGGTTGATATGGTTACATGTTTTTATTGACCACTTTGTATATCTACTTATACAAAGTCTCTCTGGAATCTCTTGCCTGTCTTTTAATTTTGTCCCTTTTTCTTATTGAATCGTAAGAGTTCTTTATATATTCTGGATCACAGGCCTTTGTTTTTCTTTTTTGTTTTTGTTTTTATTTTTTTTTTTTTAATTTTTTTTTTTCAACGTTTATTTATTTTTGGGACAGAGAGAGACAGAGCATGAACGGGGGAGGGGCAGAGAGAGAGGGAGACACAGAATCGGAAACAGGCTCCAGGCTCCGAGCCATCAGCCCAGAGCCTGACGCGGGGCTCGAACTCACAGACCGCGAGATCGTGACCTGGCTGAAGTCGGACGCTTAACCGACTGCGCCACCCAGGCGCCCCTGTTTTTGTTTTTAACGTTTATTTATTTTTGAGACAGAGAGAGACAGAGCATGAACGGGGGAGGGTCAGTGAGAGAGGGAGACACAGAATCCGAAGCAGGCTCCAGGCTCTGAGCCGTCAGCACAGAGCCCGACGCGGGGCTCGAACCCACGAACTGCGAGATCATGACCTGAGCCGAAGTCGGACGCCCAACCGACTGAGCCACCCAGGCGCCCCTGGATCACAGCCCTTTGTAAACTGTTTGTGTTGCAGATATCTTCTCCCATGATGTAGCTTGCTTTTTAGCTCACTTAATTGTGTCTTTTGATAGAATGAAGTTCTTAGTTCTAACGTAGTCCCATACATAACTTTTCCTTTTAGTTAATTGTTTTGGGGTCCTCTTTGAGAAATCTTTGCCCAACCCAAGATCATAAATATTTTTTCTAACATTGTCTTCTAGAAACTTTATTTTTTTTATCTTTTACATTTAGGTGTCCAATCCACCTGGAATTGACTTTTTTGTGTCACAGGTGAGATAGGGATTGAGTTTCTGGGGTTTTTTTTAATATTTATTTCTTTGGGGGAGAGCACAAACAGGGAATGTGCAAAGAGATAGAGACAAAGGATCCGAGGCGGGTTCTGTGCTGACAGGCTGACAGCAGCGGGCCAGATGTGGCCCTTAAACTCACCGACAGTGAGATCATGACCTGAGCCAAAGTCGGAGCCTCAACCGACTGAGCCACCCAGGCGCCCCAGAGTTTTGGTTTTAACAGCACGGATATCCCATTGGCTCAGCACCACTCCTGCAGCCATCCCAACCTGGGTGTGATGTAGGATGCGAAGCTCTCATTTTTGTATTTGGCTTGCTGGTACTTTGCCGAGGATTGTTGCATCCCTGTTCATCAGTGATACTGATCCGTACCTCTCACCCAGCTGCGGTATCAGGATGATTCTGGTCACGTAAAATGAAGGAAGTACTGCTTCTTTTGGTCTCTGAGGGACACTTTATAATCAGAGTCAATTTCTTGAATACCCCGGGACTCTTCCAATTTTCTATTTCTTCGTAGATCAACGTTGGCCGACTTAAAGCGCAGTAAGAGACACACGTTGCTCTGGTCAAGGCTTGCTGGTCTCAACCAGAGGTTGCAAATTTCAATGCCGGTAGAGGCTAGCCTACTAATAATGGAAATGAGCAAAGATGGCGGAGAGTAAGGTAATCAGAACTGGTGGGGACTACAGAGTACACGCCCCTTTACAGAGCGGTGGCTGTCAGCTCCGGCCAATTATTACGATGGAAGAATCTGAGCCCGGTACCGCCAAATCACTCCATTTAAATGAGAAGTGAACATTTTATATGACTCTGGAAAAAAAAACAAAACTCTGAATACTTAAATGTTGAGTCATGCAAATTGAAAAAACAAAACCAAAAACCTGTGTGGGCTAAGCAAAACAGGTGTGCCAAACGTAGCCAGAAGATCGGCCAGTTTGTACCTTTTACTCCAAGCCGACAAAAAACACAACAGCACAGATATAAATAACAAAGCTTATTTATAGTTGACTTTAGTTATCGTAATTCACGCTTAAATACGAAAGTTCGCCATTTACTGATAAATGGAGCCACGTTTTTTTAAAAGTTTAGATTTGAAAACGCCCGAGTCTATGAACCGTTAGAATATTTTCATTTACCCTCATATTTTTGCATTTGTATTCCCCCAAATCTTATTTTGATGAGAAACTTGGTGTCTTTTGGACTTTTCAAGGGACTAAGTTGGATTAAGCTGTTCTCACTTAAAGTTTTACAGTTGTCTAGCTTAGAGTTTCCTTTTTCTATAGTTAAGCAGGTGGTCTTATTTTAGGTTATGGGGTTTTTTGCCTAGTTACTTGTCAAGTTTTTACATGGTGAAGGAATATCAGACTCCTTTTCATTTTTCAGGGGCTTTAGGTCACTTTTTATTAAGGTCCTGTAGAGTAGTTGCTAGGACAGAATCATCACCAATGGATAATTTCTAAGAGTATTATTTTCATTCATTCAACAGGTATATATAGCCACTGTACTAGGCCGGTGGGGACCACAGAGATCCATAAAGACTACTGTCCTTGTGGTCTATAAATTTAAGTATCAAATGACACATGAAAGGGGCACCTGGGTGGCTCAGTTGGCGAAGCATCTAACTCTTTATTTCACCTTTGGCATTGATCTCAGGGTTGTGAGTTCAAGCTCCACACTGGGCTCCATGCTGGGGTAGAGCCTACTTAAAAAAAATAGCGCAAGAAAAATACAAGTTTGAGCGATCAAACCATTTTTTTCTTTTCTTTCTTTTTCTTCTTCTTCTTCTTCTTTTTTTTTTTTTTGGAAGATTTGATTTTTAAGTACTCTCTATCCCCAGTACGGGGCTCAAACTCACAACCTCGAGATCAAGAGTCACACACTCAACCACCTGGCCGGCCAGACACCGCTTAAACCATTTTCAAACTGAATTTGACATAAAAAGTTCATGCATTTGCATAGTTAATGTGTGCTTAAAGTATTTGTGAGCTATTTTCAGGATCAGGGATTGTCACTCCTACCATCATCAAAGGCATTACCTATTTTTCTGTACCTCTAGAGAAAGTTTAAGAAATGAAAGTTTAAGAAAAGTAATAAAATAATTTACAGTGTAAAATAATAATAAAATAAGAATCTAAGTGACTGTATTTGATATATAGAGTTAAGTAATCTCTTTATAAAATCCGCTAACCGGAAAAATAAAATAGTCGTTTCTTTGATTTTTCTAGTTTAAAAATTTTTTTTTTCAACGTTTATTTATTTTTGGGAC